TTGCCAATTCCTCGGTACTGACTCCGGAATGGGACAAGCGCGCGAGCTACAAGCCGCGACTGATCCAGGTCCGCTGAGGGGCACAAGACGAAACATGTCCAAGAGGCTCGAAAGGCCGTGATGACCCTAAGGCTTCGAAGAATCGGTGCAAACTTGAACAATCGGAAAACGCGCCTTAGTGGTAAGCACATTGCACTTCCAGAGCTGCAGTTTCGTTGCCTCAGCAAGCCAAGTCACAAGTACATAATTGTACCATTGCCGTTCTTGCCCGCAGACCAACTCAGCGATATTTCCAGGAGGCTGAACACGACCAAAGCAAAGTCCATAATGTTCCTTCGGCATGTGTTGCTACGAGCTGGTAATTGTGCTGTGCCCGTGCCCCTTCGTGCTCTGCATCCCAACTGCCCGATGCTGCAACAAGACTCCACATGGCATTGTCATTGATGAAAAAATACAAGCGGTGCACGCACAAGCGCAATCCAATCTCCAGAACGAAGAAAGCCTGAAGCATCCACTTTATGCTTTCATTGCTGTTAACCCATGTAAAGGCCCATGGTCACACATGGCCAGAGCACGACATGCAACCACAGTTGGCCGCCAAGCTGCGACGAAAGCAAGGTCAGCATACTGGAAAGTATCAGGGATCCCTTCCAAATCTTCCAAGTCATGCAGACATGTCAACAAAGGCAAACAGAGAAAGCACCAGCCTTCTTGCGGATGTTTCAAGATCCAATCCTGGGATGTTTATGTCTGTCCATGAGGTGTCTATAGAGGCCCAACCAGAATCTGGAACTGGCGAAGGAGCATGCTACACGATACGCTTGAGTGTAGGTCTAGGTCAGTTACAGCAAACCCACGCTGGCCATTGTCCATCCAAGTCCACAGTCTGAAGCAGGACTCAACTTCCAAGTCGCCACGTCGTAAGTCCTACATCTTTGACAGCACCAAGTAAATGTTGGAAACCAACGATGTAATCACGCGACAGGGCTGAGGGCATACCGTGCTGCTCTTAAACCAGGAGAGACACGGAAACTCAAAATCGGTGTCGATGAGCACAAGATTGTTGTGATTGCTGTGTTCACTGATTTTCCGCTACATTCTCCCTTAGCTGCGCGAAGAAACCTTCTAAGCCTAAGTGTCCCGCACAGCCACTGGCAGGACGTCTCACCTCTTAATTTTGAAGCTATCTCCAAAAATCAAAAACTACACCGCCCAAGCAAACCCAATGCCGAAATCAAGACAGCGCAATGAGGCGTCCAGTGTTGCAGCTAAGGGTCGGTGAGAAGCGTGATGGAAACGGCATTTGCGAGTATCACTAAGGTGGAAAGATCTCTGACAAGTCGTGATGCTTGAATTTGGTACAGACATCCTGACCGCTCCGGCTCCTGCACGCTGTGCCACCACTCCACAATTTCAAGAATCCAGGCAACACAGCGGTTGTTCACGTGATCCCCAATGGCTCCGCTCCTCGATTCGACATCTAAGCACATCAGAGCTGATTCTCACACAAAGCGAGCTATAGCGACAGGTCAAGAGGCATCAACAGTGGCCAAGGTGCGCATGGGACAGCAGATTCGTTCGAGGTGCACCTTCCTGCCAGACACGCTTCAGGCCCAGGCCACTGCTTGTCTGCCTGCGCAGATCAGGCCTGAACTGCAGGCAACAGCTTACTCCGCATGAGCTGCCCGTTCCCAGCTTAGCTGCATCTAACTTTGATACGAGCGTCTTCATGGATTCAACATGCCCCCACAACGCTGAGAAGTTGATCAACTTCGTTGGGCTCGGAGCAACCGCCTCCTGATCCCAGTTCTTTTTGCGAGGGCTGGCTCAGCTTAAAACCAAGCCCAGCCCAGGCAACCTTCTCCTCTTCCTTCTCACTGAAGATCTCAAGCTCTTGCGCGGCCGGCGCCGAACCTGCGACAACGCAGGCTACCCGTTTCGCAAGGCTTCTCACATCCACAGCCCATGTCAGTCACAGAGGCCCGCACAGGGTTCTGACAGCGCCGAGTGAGACGGGTGAGCCTGAACACTGTGGGCACGGTCATGATGCTGGCTCTTGATTTCAAGGTGACCCATGATTGTGGGTGGACCCCTCTAAATGCCGCAGCATGGGCCTGAGAAGACAGCCTTTGGACTTCCATCTCCAGCGCAGAGCACTGGCCTGAGGAGGCGTCACGCGTTTGGAGCGTACTCGGCTTAGTGAAGTCTCCTCTCCTGCATCGGCCCAAGTGCCAGAGTGCGAATGCTGTCTGATCTTTTGCGGACTTTGACGGCTGAAAGCTTACCCACCAACTTACTTCAGTTTCTACCCAAGCCACTGGAAAGCTCTGCAATTTCAGTCTCATGCCTGGCAGATTTCGCAGCTGCCAAAAACATTGATGGCAGCACTGAAGCGAGTTGTTGGCCCCCACCTGGATGCCACTTGGTCAAGCAACTGTGCGAAGCTCACCGGCTCATCGCGTGAGCGACCAGGAGCCCAAGAGGAGATGCTCTGCGACATCTTCGGCACAGCAAGGGCTGTCCCACCTTGGCCTTGAACCACAGCGGCCGATATTGTGAGGCGAAGGTAGTCGCTCCCAGTTACATGCACTTGACGCAGGCTGACGAAAGCATCAGGCAGGAAGCCGCGAAGATTGCCCACCAGGCAACGGGAGGACGGCTCTAGTGGATCATGTAACCACAAAACCCTTCATCAGCAAGGAAACATGCATGGTACACATTTAATGCATTTGTACTGCCGGGTTGAAGGCTGCATGTGACTCTATGACTCTATGAGGTGCCTGGGTTCCGATCGGAAGGCCCAGGGTAGTGTGAGAAAGGCTCTATCTAGCAAATGTCCACTGCGGCACAAGCGCTTCTGCGACTGGCCTCTGTGAAGCGGAAAATGCACGGCGTGGTGGCGAGAATCAAGCGGCGATGGTTTCTGCCGTTGCTTTTCAAGAGCAATATTCAAAGCTTCAGGTGAACTCCAGCGGCGAAACTCATCATTGGCGGCCAGTAGTCCTTCTCCCATGAATCGAGCCTGCTTTCCAGCTGCCCTATAAGAACCATCTGCTTCTGGATGTCGAGAGCAGAGGCTGACCCTTTCACTGCCATGCATCCATCCACAAAGCGAGAGATTTCGAGCTGACCTGCCTCATCGGCTACTAGCTCAAACAAGTAATGCGCATCATAGACATCGAGGCCAACACTCAGCATGTGCGATAGTACCTCTCCATCTTCCAGGCACTCGTCAAATTCGTCTTTCGTGATACGGCCGTTGTTGTCCCTGTCCATTTTCGAGAATAGCTCACGCAGCTCAGCAGCCTGCTCAGCAAACTTCCTCCGTTCCAGGACCATCTGCTGCTGACGGTCAGGCCGCGATGCATCCACTGCCTTCTCTACGAAAGTTGCGGTTAAGATATTAAACAATGCAAAGGTGAAGAAGAAGATGAAGCCCAAATACAGCCAGTGATAGAAACTGCCCAGCATCTTCAGCAAGTCGTAGTACAAATGCCAGTCAGTGCCTCCTGTAACACTCATGTAGAGCAATACCATCGTGTCCCCGACAGAATCAAAGCCAAGCTGTTTGGCGTCTGAGGCAGGAAATACTGCATCGCTGAGACCATCAGCTACCCCCTGGGCGAAGACCAGGGCACCTCACGAAGGCAAAAAAGAAGTGATGAGCATGCCGCAGTCCTGATGCTAGGCAACGTTCTAAATTGATACGGGGCACTGAGAAACAGGAGGAAGCTCAGCAAAGCTAAGCTCCAAAACATCGCCATCAGGCTTGAGCGAAGATTTTCCAAAAGACCTGCCAACTCCTCACAGACAAGCATTTATCCGTTTCAAACTGAACCTCTCTACAGATTCAGCCCACATGTGACATGTGCAATCCAAGGTTCGCGGAAAGCCGTCAAAACACGGAAGATGCGAACTGCTTTGGCGACCTTGCAAATTCGGAGAGTCCTCCTGGCAAGCAGAGAAGTTTTCCGAATGGTAACATGAGCCACACGTCGTGTTAGACCCGGCCACCGTATCCGACAAGCTGCATGTACAGGACTGTGCCAGATGCATTGTCAGTCTGCCAAATAACTATGATTTCGATGACGCTGAAAGCCACCAGTAGAAGATCAAGCCAGTTCCTTGTCTGAGACGGCTGCACCCAGAAGGATAGGCTTTTACAACCCACAGTAAGAGTGAGTTTCTACAACCCATGTCAAACGTTACATGTCGAAAGAAGCAATTCACGACAAGTTTCCAAGCTAAGTTGTCATTTATGAAGAAGTAGAGTCGATGCACCAACAAGCGAAGGACGAGCTCCACGATGTAGAACGTCTGGGCGATTTCAGGTCACCCAAAACAATCTGGACTGGCGGTAGCTCAAAGACAAGCCCCAACAGTCCAACTCTACTTGCCACGAGGAACCAGGCAGAAGAGCTCCACAGTGAGAAGTGCACCTGGGCCTCACAAACGCACAGAAAGACTCCTTCAATCTGTCAAGGCATGAACAGCAGGAAACAAAACGCCTCCGGCATCCTCTGCCAATGAAATATCCTGTCACAATTTAGCCATGATGGTATGAAGCACTTTAACGAACTATGAGCCGGGTCCGCATCAGACGAGAACAGCCAAGGGTCGATCAAGCGTGTGATGGAAAACGCATTGACCAAGATCACCAAGATCGAAAGACACCTCACGGAAAAGGCAAGGAGCTGAGCTGCCGTAAACCCCTGTTAGCAAAGTGCCTTCAAAATTTGACACAATCACTCACTTAAGCAGACTCAAGGCACCAGAAGCTTCTCGACTCCACAAGCCTGTAGACGAAACCACTGCGTTTTGGCTCCTCCAATGACGACCACCATTCCAACGACTTGGTGATCTCGCGCACAATGCGACTGCTGTCTAGCCTCGCGCTGTACCTTGAAAGGAGAATTCTCTTTTCCTCACAACCCACTTGTCGAAACGCTGCTCATTCCAGGTGATGCTGGCTATGGCTCTTCAGTTGCGCTGAACTCTCCGAATATCTACATACCATCTCCAGGCTTCTTTGGACAGTCAAGGCAATCAAGACCATGTCATGTATCTTCGAGCTCTGCAGTCTAGCATCGTTTTTGGAAGCGCCCTCGGCTTCTTCGACGGAACCTGCATTGTTCCGGTGATCCCGGACTGCGACAACATGGAGGGCTGAGCTGTCCTCGTCATGTGCACATGCATCACAAGCCCACACTGCAGCTGCAAGAAAGCGTGCAGACAAAAATTGCGACTCGGCACCTGTGTTTGGATACATGGGCCAGCTCCGCTTCTGCTGTTGCATCCACGGCATCTTCCGACGGAACTTCAGGCTCCTGGTCCTGGGGAACAGGCAGAGAAGGGAGAGAGAAAGAGAGACTTTTGACTTTGCATTCGCAGAACAAGTGCATCTCCCATGCGCGGCTAAGTGCGACACACCATTGTGGTGCGGCCAGCTAGGACTGTGAGGTGAACCCGCGTCGCTTGGGAAATCCTACCCACCCCGCCCCCGGGGGGACCTAGCAGGTGGAATGTCAGTGGACCGAAGTCTGACATCGCTGGATTCAATGCATGATGCCCCAACAAGGCGATACGGCATCCACCTGATGTCATGAGCCGATGACACGAGCTTGGGAAACATACTGACAAGGAAGCTAGTGCCTTGCACACCATCAGCATAGCGGGCGAGACTTACCAGCACAAATTTTGAAACGGTAGTGGCAGCCCTTGCGGCGCCTGCTGCATATGCCAGAGATGCACACACCCCTGAATGATTGCACAATCTTTACGAAAGACTAGCAAGTCCACAAATATCGATCCAATCACTCTGGGTCTAAGGAATTACCTGGATCCAGGCACAGGTCTAGCCTCCCAGCGACAGGTGATGAAGGCCAAACCATTCCGGTCCAGCAGGAACCTTATCAGTTCGGCAAGGTCCTGCTGGCGGTGGGGCTGGGCCCATCCTTGCAACAGACAGACTTCGCCACTGCAGAAGATCAAGAAGCGTGGCAAGGATCGACTGGCTTCAGTATTCGATGGAGGGCTTGCATGAGCCCTGCGGCACCCTCGCGGGGGCCGCCCGAGAAACAAACATGGCAGGCATAGGCCAGTCGATGCACAGAGGAGCGCAGATACCAAGTGGGCCAGTGCAGGTGGTAGGAGAGGTACGCTAAGTGCCGGGCCACTCACCAGCCTACGGCCTCCTGGATGCGCTGGATGAGCGGCGACAGCGATGGGCGGACCGGTGTCAGCCCCGGGAGGGACATCAACAGCAGAGCCGCTGACGCAAACCATTTCTTGAAGATCAGCATCAATTCTGCTGCCGCCGGCGGGAGAGCACCAGAGCAGCCGTCAGCTCAGAGTTTGTCAGTGAGGCTCCCTAGCAGCCGTAGGCCCGCCGCCGGGAGCACGGTATCGTTTGTACTGGTCTTGTTCTTCTTGGCGGGTAAGCAATTCGCCCTGGCTGCCCCTCAGTTGCGCGGGGACGCGAATGGTTTGTGGCGCCAGACGTCGTACAACTTGCCAGCTCGCCGTCTTTTGACCCTCCCGCTCCGCCTTGGCTACCAGCATAAAAGGGCGAAGTGGGGTCACAGCGTATTCCTGTGCGGTTCGCCGGAGGTCCCACATGTCTCTAACACTGCCTTCGACCCGAGCCAGTACCCCCGCGACCTTGCGAGTCGGAGGTTTCAAGTTCTCTGGACAAGTGAAGCTTAAAGGCTGCCACTTCCTCCGGAGGTTGCTCGGGGGCCTTGCACTCGGTAGACCCCTTTATAGTTTGAGTCGAAGTTTGAAAATGAATCGCCGGAACGGAGGCGTGAACAGGATGGCGCCACGCTCCACCTCGACATCTGAGGACGTGAAAGGCCTGTCCGGCTCTGCCTGTCTGGCCCTGCCATCCATTTGCGCCGTGCGTCCAAAGATGAAGTCGATGGCTACAGACACCGTTCTTTCAAAGGTGAACACTGCCGAAGGTCGGCTCCAGGTGTTCAGGGCCGTAAGTTGATGCGTCTTGGCAAGGTTTAGAAGAAGGCCACGATCAGGATGGGGGTGTTTGCTGCAGTACACCCCGGGGCCGTAGACCTGTGCCTCCCTGGTTCCACACATGTTAAAGTCTCCAGCCAAGACAAGAACATTGCGAAGGCTTCCTAGTGTGCGATTCAGGTGACGCACAAGCCTTTTCTTATGCATGACTTCATCTTTGTCGCTTCATGAAGGCAGGGCATGCTGGTAGACAGTACTCACACCAACATCCTGACCGTTAACAGGATTACGAACATGAAGAATATGGCCTGCCAACGGAGTGGACCTCGCCACTACGAAGCGCACGAGGTTTTTCGAATGACGACGAGGCATCCCTGGTAGCTGGTAGCGATGATCAGACGTACCTGCCTGGAAGATTTGGTACTTCGGGAGCATCCAGGAGTTTGTGAAACGCCAATGCATCTCCTCCAGAAGCAGGATGTCATAGTCCGTCTGCTCGTGCATCCAGACCTGCACCTCCATCCACGC